GTCTCCGTTGTATAGTTTTGACTTCTTTGTCAAAATTCAAGTGTCCATAGTGTGTGGATTTATGTCTGGACCTTTGATTCCATTCCATTGACCAATGTCTGTTTTTATGCCTATACCATGATGTTTTTGTTACAATAGTTCTATAGTGGAGCTTGAAGTCAGGGATGGTGATACCTCCAGCAGGTCTTTTGTTGTACAGGATTATTCCTGCTATCCTGAATTTTTTGTTTTACCATATGAAGTTGAGTATTGTTCTTTCAAGATTGTAAGTAATTGTGTTGGAATTTTGATAAGGATTGCATTGAATCTGTAGACTGATTTTGATAAGGTGGCCATTTTTACTATGCTAATCCTACTAATCCATGAGCATGGGAGATCTTTCCATCTTCTGATATCTTCTTCAATTTCTTTCTTCAGAGACTTGAAGTTCTTGTCACACAGATCTTTCACTTGCTTGCCTAGAGTTACCCCAAGATATTTTATATTATTTGTGGCTATTGTGAAGGATGTTGTTACCCTGATTTCCTTCTCAGCCCTTTTATCATTTTTATGTAAGAGGGATACTGATTTTTTTTAGTTATTCTTGTATCCAGCCACCTTGCTAAAGGTATTTATAAGATTTAGAAGCTGCTTGGTAGAATTTTTTGGGTTGCTTATGTATACTATCACATCATCTGCAAATGGCAATATTTTGACTTCTTCTTTTTCACTATATCCCTTTGATCTCCTTTTGTTGTCTTATCACTCTAACTAGGACTTTGAGTACTATATTTAATAGATATGGAGAAAGTGGACAGCCTTGTTCCTTATTTTAGTGAAATTCCTTTGAGTTTCTCTCCATTTAATTTGATGTTGGCTTTTGGTTTGCTTTTATTATATATTTAGGTATGTTCCTTTTATCCCTGATTCTCCAAGACTTTTATCATGAAGGGGTGTTGAATTTTGTCAAAGGCTTTTTCAACATCTAATGCAATGACTGTGTGATTTTTTTCCTTTCAGTTTGTTTATATGGTGTATTATATTGATAGATTTTCATATGTTGAACCATCTCTGTATCACTGGGATGAAGCCCACTTGATCATGGTGGATGATCTTTTGATGTGTTCTTGTATTTGGTTTGCCAGTATTTTATTGGGTATTCTTGCATCAGTGTCCATATGTTTACATAATAGAGCATTACTCAGCTGTTAAAAGCAATGACACCAGGAAATTTGAAGGCAAATTGATGGAACTACAAAAAAATGATCCTGAGTTAGGTAACCCAGACCCATAAAAACAAACATGGTATGTACTCACCCATAAGTGGATATTAACTGTAAAGTAAAGGATAATATGCTACAATTCATAAATCCAGAGAGGCTAGATAACAAGGGGGCCCAAAGGGAGATGCATGGGTCTCCCTGGGAAGGGAAAATAGAAGAGATATTCTGGGTGGACTGGGTGGTTGTGCATGGGAACTTGGATTAGGTTTGGGTGGGTGGAGGGCAAGAGTGCAGAGAGAGATGATTGGAGGGGGGGCTTTTGGGAGTCAGGTAGAAATTTGATGCAAGGGAAACTCCCACAAATCTGCAAGGATGACCCCAGCTAAAACTCCTATCAATAGTGGATAGGTAGCATGAACTGGCCCTCTCCTGTGATCAGTTGGTGACTTCCCTAATTGTCATCAGAGAGCCTTCATCCAGTAACTTATGGAAACAGATACAGAGACCCACAGCCAAACATTGGGCTGAGCTATGGGAATTCTCCTGAAGAGAAGGAGGAAGTATTGTAGGAGCCAGATGAGTCCAGCACACCACAACAAAACCCACAGAAACAACTAACCTGGCTTATAGGAACTCATAGAGTCTGAACCAACAACCAGGGAGCCTTCCTGAGATGAACATAGGCCCTGTACATATATGTGACAGTTGTGTAGCTTAGTCTATTTGTGGGATGTCTATCAGTGGGAGCAAGAGCTGTCCCTAAAGTTTTGGCTGGCTATTGAGTACTTATTCCTTATACTGGGTCGCCTTGCCCAGTCTAAATACAAGGGGAGGTGCTTAGTCTAACTGCAAATGATATGCCATGTTTTGTTGATATCCTTGGGAGGTCTGCCCTCTCTGAACAGAAACAGAGGAGTGGATTGGGGGTGGCCAGAGGAGAAGAGAGAAGAGGGACTGGGAGGAGAGGATGGAGGGGAAATTGGGGTTGGAATGTTATGTAAATAAATAAGAATCTGGTTGTCTGAGGTTTTAAAAATGAAGCTCTGAATACTTTTGTGGGAACTCATCATAATGTGTAATATCAACTATTTAAAAATCGTTCTGAATGTAATGTTGAACTCAGTATATTTAAAAACCTCGGGCTGGATATGAAGCTCAGAATCTGAGTAGTTGTCTACCATGCTTGAAGCTTAACTCTGGTCCAGAGAGAGAGATAGAGACAGAGACAGAGGAGACAGAGACAGAGATAGACACAGAGAGAAGATCCTATAGTGGTAAAATAAGAGAAAAGCAGAGATCTGATATTGTGGTAATAGTTAAATATAGCCATTCAGCCATTGTCTTTTAAACATAAAAAGCTGATTCCTATGATTTTTGCTTCAGATGTCTTTTATGACCTCTAATTTGGAGGTAATTACTAAAAACTTACATTCACTATTTTCTTATTCCTTTTTCTGTCCTTTTCACCAAAGGCCTGTGTCGATGCTAATCAGAGCTTGTGATGAGCCTGAGCAAACACACTGAGGAACCATAGCCCCCCACACACACAGATGTAAAGCGCTGACTCAGCAGCTTGTGCACCTTGACAAATATTTAATCCCTGCTAGGCTTCCAAAAGGAATGTGGCTCACTAATTTCTATGACTGACTTCAGAAACTTCCATTGGAACAAGCTTCCAGAAGGTTGGCAGAGGAGGCATTTCATTGTGTGATGGATATAAATGTTGATGAACGCCCCCAAGGCTAGAGAGGAAAGGAGCTTCTCCACAAGTTTGCCAAAATGATGAGACACTGCAAGAATGGGGGAGAAACAAGACTGTATTGTACCATGTCAGAGTTCATCTACCAGATGATGATCCTGGTGATCATAGCAACAGAAAGAAATTTCCATGACATATTTAGACAGTCGCTTGGGTTTGCCCTCATGTCTTCCCTTATTTTGTGCATTAAGAGGCTCAACACTGGCATGACAGTGTATCTTCAGGGCATGGCTCTGAAAGAGGAATCGGAATTTGATTCTTGTCCATTCTCTACTGCCAAACACTTGTGTTTACCTCAACTTCCTTAACTCTCCTGGCTTCTGTGTCCTCAACCATCTCAGATAAGGGTACCTTATCTCTCTCTATCCTTTTTATTTATCAAGCTGCACGTGTATGCTAGGACTAGAAAGCACATTTTAGCAATTAAGCACATTTTCGAGTGTATCTCATCAGGACTCTTGGCTGAGAAACTTAGATACAGTATTTGCCATTGAGCCATGCTTTCTGGGTAAGCCTATAGTTTTTTTTCCCCACAAGAGTTAGGTAGTATGAAGATTAGGTTCAGTGGCTGCTTTGTTAATAAAGAGTAACACAACAACAATTAAATACAGAGTGGTCAGCCCTGAGGTCATATGCATACAAATAACAGTATAAAGACTGAGTATGTTGTATTTCTATATTTGGGATTATATGTGAGATATATATATATATATATATATATATATATATATATATATATATATATATATATATATATAGAGAGAGAGAGAGAGAGAGAGAGAGAGAGAGAGAGAAATAGAGGTGAATTTGAGAAAGAGCAGAGGAGCCACATGGGAAGGGTTGGAGGGAGGAAAGGGAATGGATGGGCAATGATCTTATTTTAAAACTAAAAACTAAAAATTTAACAATGAAGCAGAGCACCCCAGGCCTAAAGTTCAATTAAACAGCTGTTTCCACCTTAAATCCACAAACTTCACAACTTTGTATCCTTCAGTTCCTGCGCATGCCCCTGTCTACTCTGTAGATTTTGGCTTTCTAGAAACCAAAATTAAATAGCACAATAACTAATGAAGCATTTTTGTCACAACTGTTCTGATTGTGTTTTTATTATGTGTATGATTGTTTTACCTGCATGTGTGTACATGTGTGCACTGTGTAAATGCAGTGTGCCCAGAGGCCAGAAGAGTTTGCCAAATACTCTGAAACTGGACTTATAGGTGTTTGTAAGATGCCACATTGGTGCTGGAAACCAATCCTGAGTCCTGTGTAAGAACAGCAAGTGTTCTTAACCACTGAGGCATCTCTCCAGCCCCTTCACTCCAGCCCCTTCAGACTTTAATGAACCTAAACTTATTTTGTGTATCTGTCAAAGTGATCGCTAGCCATCAAATAGCCCAGATTTCTTTCACTGGTTTGGAAAACTGCAATAAACAAAATATTAACTCTAAATGTTACATTCAACATACATGAATTCAGGTCACCACAATTTCAAGTTCCCTGAAGGTAAAATGTTGTATCTAGAGTGTTCATTTCTACACCTCCAGTGAAGAAGTAAAATAGGCATGTTAAGTTTATCTTCTTGTCATCACATTTTAGGGGCATCCTATTGGCCTAGAAAGAGGATGATCACTTGATCGCCAGCTTAATTGGGACACAAGAAGGTGGTAGTAATGTGTGCAAAGGAAAGTAATAATTTTCTTATAAACCAAAACTCAAAACAGAAAGTATGTGGATGTTTTCATATGATTATTTCACTAAGTAAGCCTATTTAAAGTAGAAACCCAGTGTAGCTAAAGCAGAAAATGGAAGTCAAATTGTTCCCTGGTAGAAAGTTTTCAAAGTAAAATGCTAAGCACATCAGGAGTCAGTTGGTTTTGTGAGGTTTGTTTGGTCTTCTTTTTTTAAAGACATAAAAAGCCAGCAGCAATTCACATAAAGTACACCAGGCTGAGGAAACCTTTGTGTGAAGCTTAAAATGGAAAATGGATTCTCTCTGTGTTTCCTCATGTACATACTAAGTCATTCAATGAGAAACTTACCAAAATTCCACGTTGGGTCTGTCTCCTTTTTTCCCAATGGCCTTTAATGTCTGAGGTGAATGCAGAGTGCTCTAACTATTCCATTGTGCCTCTTTGGGTAACCATCACTGATTCTGTGAAGGATAAGTAGGTGACCTTACTTCACAATGTGTGCTGTGAGTAAGAGTTTTCAGTAAAACAAAGTGAAGAAGAATAATTACCAGGATGTCCACAACTTGTAAGCCTTGCCACTTTGAGTAATCATCTATTCCAGTTAAATAAATTGGTTATTTTCCTCTTCCACATTTTCCATATTTTGTCACAGGTAAATTTTTTTCCTTCCAATGTGTAGGTGGTGGCTACAGTTTTAAAACTGGTATTCTGCTCTCTTATTCTTCTGTTCGCTAGTGCAACATAGTCTGTTGTCCAGATGTCTCTTCTTGGCTGCCAAAGGTATATGCTGGTCCTTGGGATGCTTGGAATGAGCCTAGTAAAGCTAAATTTCAGAAACAAAGTAATTAAATACAATTCATCTCAAGTCATTATAGTGGACCCTAAGGAAAAACAAAACGACTTAAATACTGTCCTTATAAAAATCGGGTCTTTGCAAATGTCATCAAATGATGAAGAGATAAGAGATTGTCGTGAGATAGAATGAGTCTTTATGCAATTACTGAAACCCTTATAATAGGAGAGAAAGTCATGTACAACAAAGGCAACGACAGACTGAAGAGCTGCAAATAAACAGACGCTAAGGATAGCTTGCAACCTTAGCCCAAAAGCTGGGAAAGAATAGTATTTCCTTATATTAGTTGGAGTGTCGTAACAAAACACTATAGACTCAGAGGTATAAACAACAAAGGTTCTCAAAAAAAAAACCTATGTCCTCAAAATTCTGTAATCCAGAAAATCCAAGATTACAAGGTAAGAGTGGATTCTGTTTCTGGGAGGTCTCTCTGCCTGGCTTGTAGATGTCCATCTTCATTATGTATCCTATCATAATATTTTCTTGGAAGGAGGAAATAAGGAAAGAGAGAAAGAAAGAGAGAGGGAAGGAGAGAGAGAGAGAGATTCCTCCTTTGAGAAAGCCACTTGTCCTGTGGAATTACATCCCTACTCTCAGCACTTTATTTCAGCTTAATTACATCCTAAAAGACCCTCTGCCTAAATACAGTCACATTGGATAATGATGCCTTGATATCTGAATTGTGAAGGACAGACTTGAGTTCATGGTGCCCCTTACTCCCTCCAGAAAGAACCAATCCTGATACTTGATGTGACTACTATTCAAAACTGGGACAATAATAAGTCTGAGCTGTGATAAGTCACTGAGTTTTCAGTGCTTATAACAGCCCTGAGAAATAAATACGTTATTTGGTACTGAAAGGTAGGGTAGTACTAAAACCATTTCAGCAGAAATACAGCTAGCTTAAACTAAAGAGGATGGATCCTAGACAAAAAGAAAGGCTATTGGATTTCTGGGGCTCTATCGACAGGACAATGAAGATATTCAGCTGAAGACTGCTTCTATCCTTCAAGAAAAATGATCACTCAAAAGAAAACTGGGACAAGGCTGGTGGGCTCCTGCTGGACCCACAAGCCTAGTACAGGCAGACCAAGGGAAGGGCCAGGGAATAGGACAGGAACTTCAAATAACCACAGGGGTAGTAAGTAACAGAACCTCTCAGTACCTCCAGAAATGAATCCTGAAAACTGTATTTGAACTTCGAAACTCCAATGACCGTTATACAAATTCCTGTTATTTTAAGCCAACTGTTTCGTGTAACTTTATTATGACAACTATCAATAATAAATTCTATGCCCTCAGCTCAGAAAAAGATAGGAATTAGAGTCCTAGCATGTTAAGACATAAAGTACATTATCAAATTTTCTAGTTATGACAGTCTTACAGTCCTAACCTGGGTATCTATTAGAATGCAGTTTACATAGTTACACTGAGACACCACAGCCCAAATTGGCAAGTAGACTCATACTCTTTAGAATGAATACTTGAGGAGAAATCAGGACTTTTGACAAAGTCTCTTCATATCATGGAACAGTAATGAGAGAATAATTTAGCACACTTGGTTGATTTCCTAGTACACTATAAGGCAAAGAAAGCTCTCTAGGTGTGCCTTCTTCTTCAAAATAAATCTGTTAATGTATTAAAGATCAGAGTGATAAGTTGTATTCGATGCACACTTTTAGCTTGTCCAACCTACATTTTCTTTTCTTTAAGTAATCAGCCTGGCTAGCAGTACAAATTATAAGGTTGAAACCTGCTGCCTTCTCTATCACACCTTGTCAGCCCTGACCACAGTGAACGGTTTGGACCTGTGACCTATGAGTTGAAACAAATTCATATTCTCTCCCTCTCTCTCTCTCTCTCTCTCTCTCTCTCTCTCTCTCTCTCTCTCTCTCTCTCTCTCTGGATTCACACCTCAGACACTAGGTGGCTGTTTTGAAGTTCCCTCGGATTTCTACTGTTCTACACAGACTTGGTAAGTCACTTAACACATCAGATATTTTAAAGGAAACTATTTAAAAGAGAAATTTTTTCCACATTTAAAAAAATGGGTTTTATGTGTACATTGGAAAAAAATTGGGCTTTGTTTGAAATTTTAGGCAGTCTGACAATGGAACAACTATATGAGAAGATTAATGTTGATCGAATTATGCAG